AAGAGGAAGTTCCTATTTTGTTATAATATTCAACACAGGCATTTTGCTTTGATAGATTTAGGATATAAACACATGAATGAGTGATCCAAAGACCTTTTTAAAAAAGATAAGCATAGATTTTACATCAATGGAATCCACATTTGATAGTAAATAGATGTCATATAGAGTTCTAGATCAGCATGTACACTTCATTCCTACCAGGTGCATGCTTACATAGCTGTAAAAAAAATTGTTAAATGTCTGGAGTACAAATCAGCTCTGCTATCCCGCATAGAGATGCCTCATCTTTTAACTTGTTAATGCAGTAATAGTAATAAACAGGTAAAGACAATTTGATCAAAAACAACCACCACAACTTGATTTAAGCTTGTCTATTTTACTTAAGTTCTGCTGGGTCTAGTTAGCTCCTAGAGTTGTCAGTGTTGATGATATGCAAACCATTCACCTCTAAGTTCACATTCAGTTTGGAACGTAAATAATGACCTCTCCTTTTGACAGCTTGTCCCTGCTTAAAATGGTTAGCTAGACCTCTTCTTCTTCACTATAATAATTTCAGTTAAGAGATATAATGGGATGAGTTTTAAGAAATTTTGTAGCTATTTTCAGATTACTAATATAGACAAAATTGAGCTTCTCTACAATAATGTCCTGGTTTAAATGACAGGTGGCTGCTAAGGAAGGCAGGAACCTTCCTGGAATAAAAAGATTATTACCCTCTCCCTCCAAATTATTAAAACTTTAAAATTACAGAGCTTTCAGGCAAAGCTATGGGGAAAGGAATAACAGTTCCTTACTAGGAAAAAAATATATAACAAGACAGACAAACAATAAAAACTGTAACAACACAAAACAAAAAACCCAATAACAGCCTTTTCCTGCCCATCATGCAATTTTCCCTTTGGTGTCTGTCTTGGTTTAGGGCAAATTTGGGAGAAAACCTCCAAAGGGGCTCCTATAGAAGGCAAATTCAAGTGGCCCCTCCCCCAGCTGGTTCAGGAAAATATTTCATTGGAGTAAAGTGGAAAAAAACTGTTTATTTAACAGGCAAAGTGTTCAATAGCACAAAAAATGAAAAATATTAAAGAATAAAACTTCTTGCCAATCTGAAGAGATGACAAACTCAGAAAGTCCTTCTTGTGGGCTGTAGCTTGGCTCACCCAGTCTGTTATCACTCCCTCCGGCGCTGGAAATGCCACAGCCCAGGCCAGGCTCAGTGGGCCACAGGTGCAAGCTGCTGGTGCTCTTCTTGGTTTTCAGTCCAGAGCAGGTTTAAACAGTTCCAAGAAAAAGAAAAAACACAGTCTGGGGAACTTCTCTGCCTCAGCTAGCTAAAACTAACTAAAAAGCAAAGGAGAGCTCTCTCTCTCACCATCTATGCTGCAGACAACACAGTCCAGGAGAAGGAATGTGGAGGAGTGAATGCAGTTTCTGATAACAAACTCCGCACTTCTTCTCTCCCTCGCTTCGCTCTTGGAAGTAGCCTTAAAGGTGCAAAACTTATTTCTGGGCTAAACAGATGAATGGGGATACAAGCATCATAAACTCACCTCAGGACATTCCATCCCTTATCCCCATATTATCAGCTTACTACCAAAACTAATATATATATAACTCTACAAACACACCATAAATAGTAATTGCAGGGCACCCCTGTCACGGGAATGATTGGCATCTGACTCCAAGGTTTCAGAATGCTGAACACTCACTTTATTAAAACTATACTATATTACAACTATATTAAAGAGAGATACTATACTATACTATACTATATTATATCATACTTACTACTAACTAACTAGCAAACCTGTGACTCTCTGCCCAAGAGTCCCAACACACACACATGGATCCAATTGGTCAATGAATCCAAACAACCATCACCAGAATCCAATCAAGCAATCACCTTGGGTAAACAATCTCCAGAACACATTCCACATGGGCACAAACACAGGAGCAGCAAATGAGATAAGAATTGTTTTGATCATTCTTTTATTTGCTTTTCTCATAGCTTCCCTCTATTCAGAGGGCATGTGAATACCACGACTATACATACATATATATATATACAAACAGTATACAGCTATGTACAGACAATGGCAGTGACATTCAGCAAACAATGATATGTACATATGGTTCCCGCCCAACAATCAGATATCCCTGAGGTACACATTGTGTTGTTCTGTAGTAAACCCCATGGATTTAGGAAAAGCACCATGGAGAATATGAACAATAGGAATGCTGAAACAGCAAAAGAAAATTCCTGTTTCCCTGTCCTCCACCCTTAACCTATCTCTGTAACCCTATAAGGCAATGTCATGTTAACCCCTTACCCATTGGTCAAGCTTGGATCCTTTCCAACCCTATAAAAGAAGCATACTGTACCCCATTAGGAGAGAAAGAAGAAGAGCAGAGACCCTTCACGGACCTCCCCAAATAAAGCCATCTCCGTGGAACAGCCTGCGCCTTCTCCTTCTCCTCTCTCTCCGTCTGCTGCAGCCTCAAGCCTGGGGCACCACTACCTAGCAAGCAAAGCTGAAATCCTAAGAGCTTGCAATCACTATAGAGCTGATAATCACCATGCTTGCTAGATGGTAGCCCCGCGGCATTGGCATGAGCGAGCTAGCTTCGGGCACCTGGTCCCTACTCAGGGACTGAGCTCCTGAGCCCTATTGCTCTGCTTTATAATAAGGCCAAATCAGAGAGGCTTTATTATTGTTCCATCTTTCTGTATTATCCACCATGTGCAACCTGGTCCCTGAGCAAAGACAATCCCACGAATAGGTTTGTCTGCACTCGAGGCAGAATTGATCCAAACTGTCTTCCCTAACAGACTTTTGAAATGCACCACTGGGACTTTGTCTACTGTATGCAGGGGCTCAGATTGGGCAGGGCCTTCTCGGTTGGTGGAACCTCAGGTGGTAACTAACCAGGTAGCCTTTGCTAGATGCTGCTCCCAATTCTTGAAAGATCCCCCACCCAATGCTTTCAAGGTGGTTTTTAACAGTCCATTGTACCTCTCTACTTTGCCTGCAGCTGGTACATGGTAGGGGATATGGTACACCCACTCAATGCCATGTTCCCTAGCCTAGGTGTTGATAAGGCTGTTTGTGGTAGATTGTTTTTCTGTTGTAATCTTAAGGTGTTCCTTATTGTGAATTTATAGTGGTTTGTTCCATGTACCCTGTTCGGTTTCCCCAATGGTTTTGCCCTGAAGTTGTTTACTACTATTTTCCCGCCTAATCTTATGTCAGTCCCCATGTCAATCTCCCTTGCACCTCCCTGGTTTCCAGACCCTTCCCTGCCAATCCTGGAAATACTGCCCTCTTCCCTTGTTCATCAAATGTAACCCCACCCCTTTCTCTAGAGCCTTCCGTGTCTAACACCCTTCCCTCGAAATTCTATTGGCGTGCCAAGCCTGATCCCCTCCCATGTTATCCCCTATTGGTTACCTAGAATCTGATCCCCGCCCTACATTCCTCCCCTGCTGTTCTACTATTGGTTATCCTCCCCTAGTACCCTCCCCTGTTCTTAAGTTGCTGTTACCCTGTTGGAGCTTTGTCACTTGTCTTTGGACTTTCTTGGAGATTAAACCCTCTTGAGAACTTATACAAGTGGCCCCTCTTGTCTCCTTTGTTCTGGCTTCCTCGACTCGGGATTCCTATCAGCAGCTGCACAGAGCAGCTTTGCTGCCTCTGGGTGTTGGCCAGCCCTGCTCTACTGCCACCCAGACTGACCCAAGGGGCAGATAGGGGGCAGCCACTCTTGGCACGGGCAAGGAGGTGGGGGCTAGCCGGAGGATCACCAAGCGACTGCCCGTGTCAGCTATTCTTGAAATGAGTCCTGTTGTCTGACTCAATTCTCTCAGGGGTACCATGCCTCCATAGGACTTGCTTTTCCAGGCCCAGGATGGTGTTATGGGCTGTAGCGTGAGGCACAGGGTAGGTTTCCAACCATCCCGTGGTGGCTTCTACCATTGTGAGCACATAGTGTTTACCGTGGCGTGTCTGGGGCAGTATGATGTAGTCAATCTGCCAGGCCCCTCCATACTAATATTTGGACCACCACCCCCCATACTATAGGAGTTTCAACCACTTGGCCTGCTTGATGGCAGCACATGTCTCACAGTCATGGATAACCTGAGAAATACTGTCCATGGTTAAATCCACCCCTTGGTCTTGTGCCCACTTATAGGTAGCATCTCTACCCTGATCACCTGAGGCATCATGGGAGCATTGAGCTAGGAACAACTCTCCCTTGTGTTGCCAATCTAAATCTCTCTTTGACATGTCTATCTTTGCAGCTTGATTTACCTGCTGATTGTTTTGGTGCTCTTCATTAGCTCTACTCTTGGGGACATGGGCATCTACATGGCGGACTTCACAGATAATTTCTCTACCCTGGCAGTGTTTTCTTTCCACTCTTCAGCAGCCCAAATTGGTTTTCACCTACGCTGCCAATTATCCTTTTTCCACTTCACAGAATTCACAGAATTCACAGAATGACTAGGTTGGAAGAGACCTTCAAGATCATCAAGTTCAAGCCATGCCCAAAAACCTCAACTAAACCATGGCACTGAGTGCCACATCCAGTCTTTTCTTAAACACATCCAGAGATGGTGACTCCACCACCTCCCCAGGCAGGCCATTCCATTACTTTATCACTCTTTCCATAATAAACTTTTTCCTAATATCCAACCGATATTTCCCTTGACGCAGCTTGAGACTGTGTCTTCTCATTCTGTCAGTTGGTACTTGGAGAAAGAGACCAACCCCCACCTGACTATAACCTCCTTTCAGGAAGTTGTAGAGAATGATAAGATCACCTCTGAGTCTCCTTTTCTCCAGGCTAAACAACCCCAGCTCCCTCAGTCATTCCTCATAGGGCTTGTGTTCCAAGCCACTCACCAGCCTTGTTGCCCTCCTCTGGATGTGCTCAAGCATCTCAACATCCTTCCTAAACTGAGTGGCCCAGAACTGGACACAGTACTCAAGGTGTGGCCTCACCAGTGCCGAGTGTGGGGGAAGAATGACCTCCCTGGTCCTGATGGCCGCACTATTCCTGATACAGGCCAGGATGCTGTTGGCCTTCTTGGCCTCCAGAGCACACTGCTGGTTCATGTTCAGTCGGCTGCCAAACAGTACCTCTAGGCCCCTTTCTGCCTGGGCACTGTCCAGCCACACCATCCCCAACCTATAACGCTGTAGGGAGTTATTGTGGCCAAAATGCAGGACTTGGCACTTAGACTTAATAAATGTCATCTTATTGGACTCTGCCCATCCATCCAACCATTCCAGGTCTCTCTGCAGAGCCCTTCTCTCCTCCAATAGATCGACACATGCTCCCAGCTTAGTGTCATCTGCAAATTTACTAATGAAAGACTCAATCCCTTCATCCATGTCATCAATAAAAATATTGAACAGAACTGGCCCCAGCACAGACTTCTGGGGGACATCACTAGTGACTGGCCACCAGCTAGACGCAGCATGGTTCACCACCACTTTCTGGGCCAGGCCATCCAGCCAGTTCTTAACCCAGCAAAGAGTGTTCCTGTCCAAGCTGTGGGGTACCAGTTTTTCCAGGAGTATGCTGTGGGAGACAGTGTCAAAGGCCTTGCTGAAGTCCAGATAGAAAACATCCACAGCATTTCCCCCATCCACCAGGCAGGTCACTTGGTCATAAAAAGAGGCCAGGTTGGTCAAACACGACCTACCCCTCCTAACCCGAGGCTCGCTAGGTCTAATACCCTGGCCATCCTGTAAGTGCTGCATGATGACACTCAGTATAAACTGCTCCATTACCTTACCTGGTACTGAGGTCAGGCTGACTGGCCTATAATTACTAGGATCCTCCTTCCCACCTTTTATGTGAATGGGTGTCACATTGGCCACCTTCCAGTCATCCAGAACCTCATCAGTGACCCAGGACTGTTGGTAAATGATGAAGAGCAGCTTTGCAATCTCATCTGCAAGCTCTCTCATCACGCTGGGATAGATCCCATCTGGTCCCATAGATTTATGAATATCCAAGTATCTCAACAGTTCTCTGACTGCCTCCTCCTGGATAACAGGGGGAACCATTCTGGTCCCTGATACCATCAACCCACCCAAGAGGACAGTTGTCCTGAGGCAAATTGTCTTCCCACTACAAACTGAGGCAAAGAAGGTGTTAAGCACCTCTGCCTTCTCCTCATCTGCAGTCACTATGTTCCCTCCCGCATCTAATAAAGAACGAAGATTGTTCTTGCCCTTCTTTTTGATGCTAATATATTTGTAAAAACATTTTTTATTATCCTTTACAGAAGTCACCATTTTGAGTTCAAACTGAGCTTTGGCCTCCCTAATTTTTTCCTACATGCTCCAGCAACCCCCTGAAATACTTCCTGAGAAACCTGACCCTCCTTCCAAAGATGATACATCCTCTTATTTTTCCTAACTTCCTCCAAAACCTCCTTGCCCATCCAGGCTGGACGTTTGCTGCGTCGACTTGTCTTTCAGGACACGGGGACAGTCTGTTCCTGTGCCCTCAAGATCTCTGTTTTGAAGCACGCCCATCTTTCCGTGACTCCTTTGTTTTTAAGGGCTGCTTCCCAAGGAACTCTCTGAGTAAATCTCCTAAATAGGCCAAAGTCTGCCCTCTGGAACTCCAATGTAAAAGTCTTATTGACGTTCCTTCTGATTTCACCAAATATTGAGAATGCTATAATTTCATTATCACTATGCCCCAAGCGGCCTCCAACCACCACATCTCCCACCAGCCCATCTCTATTTGCAAGCAACAGATCTAACATAGTCCCTCCCTTGGTGGGCTCACTTATCAGCAGCAACAAAAAGTTGTCATCCACACACTCTAAAAATTTCCTGGGCTGCATTTTTTTCAGTTGTATCAAGTTCCCAGCAGATGTCTGGCAATTTGAAGTCGCCTACCAGAACAAGGGCTGATGAACCTGGAACATTCTCTTGCTGTTTATAGAATTAGTTGTCCACCTCTTCTTCCTGGTTGGGTGGCTGATAACAGACTCCCAGTAGGATGTCAGTCTTGTTGGCCTTCCCGTTAATTCTAACCCAAAGGCATTCAACCTCATTGTCATTAGTTTCAATACCCATGGCTTCAAAAGCTTCTCTAATATAAAGTGCCACCCCCCCCACCTCTTCTCCCGTTCCTGCCTCTTCTGAAGAGCTTGTAGCCATCCAGTGCAGTGCTCCAGCTATGTGAGTTATCTCATCAAATTTCTGTGATGGCAATTACATCACAGCTTTGCTGTTGCATGATGGCTTCCAGCTCTTCTTGTTTGTTACCCATGCTACATGCATTGGTATACATGCACCTCAGCTGGGCTACTGATTTCACCCCTAACTCAGGCTTACCACCCTTGGGCCTGCTTCCGGACAACCCAGCTGCATCCCCTACCCCCTTCAAAACTAGTTTAAAGCCTTCTCAAAATGTTCTGCCAGTACATGAGATTAAAACCTTCTGCCTTTCTGCCCTTAACAGAGAGATGGAGCTCATCCAGTTCCAGCAGGCCAGGTGCTGTTTTCCAATATGGGCACGCTATATCATGAGAGCAAGCCACTTGCTCCATATGGCATTGGTGGCATGGTGGGTAGAGGGAACCTTTGCTTTGAACATCCACCCCAGCACCAGTAGTCGGGGTGCCAGGAGGAGTTGTGCTTCAGTGCTGATTACCTCTGAGGCAGCCTGGACTCCTTCATAGACTGCTAAAATTTCCTTCTCTGTTGGAGTATAGTTGGCTTCAGACCCTTTGTAATTTTGACTCTAAAATCTTAGTGGTTGACCTCGAGTCTGACCAGGCACCTTCTGCCAAAGGCTCCAGGACAGACCATGGCTCCCAGTAGCACAGTAGAGCACGTTCTTCACATCTGGTTCCATCCTGACTGGGCCAAGGGCTACCGCATGAGTGATCTTCTGCTTGATCTGGGCAAAGGCTTGCTGCTGTTCAGGGCCCCACTGAAAAGTGTTCTTGTGGGTGACCAAGTAGAGAGGGCCCACAATCTGGCTGTACTCAGGAATATACATTCTCTAAAAGCCTATGGTGCCTAGGAAGGTTTGTGTTTCCTTCTTGGTCAGTGGAGACATGGCTGTGATCTTGTTTATGACATTGGTGGGAATCTGACACTGTCCATCTTGCCACTTCACTCCCAGGAACTGGATCTCTTGAACAGGTCCCTTAACTTTGATCTTCTTGATGGTGAAACTGGCTTTCAGGAAAATCTGGATAATTTTCTCTCCTTTCTCAAACACTTCTGCTGCCATGTTCCCCCATACAATGATGTCATCAATGTACTGCAGATGTTCTGGAGCCTCACCCTTTTCCAGTGCAGCCTGGATCAGTCCATTGCAGATGGTAAGACTGTGCTTCCACCCTTGGGGCAGTCAGTTGCAGGTATACTGCATGCCCCTCCAGGTGAAGGAAAACTGAGGCCTGCATTCTGCTGCCAGAAGAATGGAGAAAAATGCATTGGCAATGTCAATAGTGGCATACCACTTTGCTGCCTTGGACTCCAGCTCGTACTGGAGTTCCAGCATATCCAGCACAGCAGTGCTCAATGGTGGAGTCACTTCATTCAAGGCATGATAGTCCATAGTCAATGTCCATTCTCCTTCAGATTTATGCACAGGCCAAATGGGGCTGTTGAAGGGTGAGTGGGTTTTACTGACCACCCCTTGGCTCGCCAGCTCAAGGATCATGTGGATGGGAATCACAGGATCTTGAGTTGTTCTGTATTGTCAGTGGTGCACTGTTAAGGTGGCAATTGGTACTCGTTGTTCTTCCGCCCTCGGAAGTCCTACTGCAGATGGGTTCTCTGATAGTCCAGGCAAGGTGTTCAGCTGCTTGACACCCTCTGTCTCCACAACCACTATTCCAAATGCCCATCTGAGTCCCTTTGGGTCTTTGAAATACCTGCTTCGGAGGAAGTCTATGCCCAAAATGCATGGGGCCTCTGGGCCAGTCACAATAGGGTGTTTTTTCCACTCATTTCCAGTCAGGCTCACATCAGCTTCCACCAAAGTCAAATCCTGTGATCCCCTTGTCACGCCAGGAATAGAAACAGATTGTGCCCCCACGTCTTGATGGGATTAATGTGCACCGTGCACCAGTGTCAACCAAGGCCTCGTATTTTTGTGGTTCCGATGTGCTAGGCCAACAAATCCACACAGTCCAGAAAACACAGTTTTCCCTAGCCTCTACCTGACTAGAGGCAGGGCTTCTCTAAGCTTGGTTATCCTTCTTTCCCTGGGCATATGTCTTGGAGGTTCTTTCAAGGGGATCAGACATATCATCATCATACCTGGCAGTTCGGCTACGGGCTACTGGAGCTGCTTCCTTCTTGGCGGAACTTCCTCTCTGAGTATTGCTGTCTTTCAATTCACACAGCCGTTGTGCCAGAGCAGTAGATTTTCCATCCCATCTCCTCATGTTTCGTCCATAATCATGCAGGAAGAACCACAGCTCAGCTTGTGGGGTGTACCTTCTCTCCCTATCTGGGGGATGTCTGCCTTTGGTACCAGAACTTCTGATCTGCATTGCTGAGATTTGGAGAAGGTCCTCTTTAATCTCCTCCCTGAGTTTCTTGTTTCTCCTCTGTCTTGTCCTCTAATTTCTGCAGATGTGTTTCCAAAGCTGTGATTCTGGCATGTGTTGGGCTGTGCACAGCATCTGCATATGCTCGGAGCTTCTTTGCTGTATCAAGCATGATCTCCTCCCTGTCATCCTGCCTCATTATTGCTAAAGCAGAAGCGTGTTCTTGTGGCCCAAGTCTTACAAGTTTTCGCCACATCACGGACATGGTACCAAGTCTGGATACCTAGTGTTTAGGTCAATTGAGAAGACAATCTCTGCTACTGCCATTTCTCTCAAGCTTTGAATTCTTTGTTCTATGGTCTTCCACTGGTTTTTCTGCATATAGAGATCATCTTCACACAGATATCTTTGTGCCACATTTCCCAGGACCTGTGCCCAGAGACTGTGAGGGCTAGCCCCCTTCATCATTCCTTGGTCGATAACCGGATCATGTGACAGGGATCCCAAATGCTTTGCTTCAGTACAGTCCAGAATTGTAGCCTCGCCTGATGGACTAACCAACTAATTATAGATTCATCAGGTCATCGAGTGTAATCCTTTCTTAGGTCATGAAGGTCCTTCAGGGAAAAGGACTCAATAGTGACTTGTGATTTTGTGTCAGTAATTGGCTTTGAGGGTCCTTCCCCCGGATCATCATCATTGTCCACTGTCCAATCGGTTTTGGCTGTGTGTTTCCCGCCTCTCGTGGTAGAATCGATAGCCATTGGTTGAGGTTCACTGTCTGGTTTAGCTGCGGGCTTAGGCTCACTGTCTGGTTTAGCTACTGGCTTGGGTTACTGTCTGATTTAGCTACAACCTGAGTAGCTGGGATTTTGGCTGCAGCCTGAGTGACTGGGGTAGCTGCTGATTGATCTCCCTGCCCCCCTGCCTCTATCTTCTGCCCTACAGTATCTAGCAGCGTGTGATAAGCATAGACCAGGGCCCAGTTTATTGCAATGATTTTTTTTTCTCCTTAGAGTCAACATGGCAGTTCTCTTCCAGGTATTTTCCCACCTCGTCTGGGTTCTGAATTTGTTGATGTGAAAAGTCCCAGGCTGGGGGATCAGAAAATTCCTTCAGGGTTCGACCCATTCTCTCCCATTCTCCACACCACTCAGGATTTTCCATGCCTGGGTTTACTCCTGGGTCAGGGGTCGCATCAGCTCCTCTGGACATCTCAGCCCTCATTCTAGACAAGCTGCAGACTATCTAAAAGAAGCTTACCAGATTAAATACCAAAATGGGGATACAAGAATCATAAAGTCACCCCAGGACAGTGTTGTTACAATCACAACCAGCAGGGGGTGCTTTTGGCTCACGTTGAGGCAGATATGATGCAGTGACTGCCCTGCGGCTGCAGGGGCACACCGATGCAAGATCAGGACCTCCCTGGTGGTGATGGCGGGTCATATGAGAGAGAAAAAAGGTTGACTCTCGCAGCCCCCATGGGAGTGGTGATCGGTCTTCAGCACTGCTAACAGCAGCTGGTACATGCTGGGAAGGGAGGAAGGGTTTTATCAATGTCTCACTACCGTGCAGAGAAGAGGTCCAATGGGCAGCCCTCCAGGTGGTGGCTCTGGGGGAGGAGGGGGGAAGGGATGATGCCCCCAGTCACCCAGATGGACTGCGTTGGTCTCTTGGTGCTACTCTCTTGTGAGCAATGGGCCCAAAAGCCGGCAGCAGTCAGGGCTCCACCGCAGTGTTGAAAAAAAATCCCTGTGCATGAGAGGTCCAAGGCGAAGAAGCCCCACTCTAGCGGTCTTTGTTCCCGACCAGGCCTGGCAAAGGCTGCCCTACCCCCAGCTAAGAAACTGCTGAAACCACCCTGCTTCCCCTCAGGCATCACTCCCAAACTTTTGTTTCTCTGGCTGGGCCATTTACCATGGTATGTGGGAGTGGCCATTTCTTTTGTTTCCTAATTACCTCTACTTGTGTTCCTGGCAACTCCTCCCCCCCCCCCCCCCCCCCCATCTTTCTTTCGGGTAGCAGATGGAAGAACAAAATTCCCTGAGAAAAAGAAGAAAAAAGAAAAAAACACCTAACCCCAAACAAATAACTGTCTTCCTGAACTGCCCCTCTAACCCTGAGAGAACCCTTTTGCTTCACATAAAGACTATCATGTTTTAAAGCATCTCTACACTTATCCATTTTTTACAATTTTTCTCAGTCCACCAAATATTTATTTTCTTCCTATTTTATTGTCCCTTTAATGGTTTTTGTGAAAAACACATTCCCTCTCCTGTAAAAATTTAATAAAGGACAATAGGAGACAAGGACCATAGAACAAAGGTTATTAAGGCTGGGTGCATCTTGGCACTGAGCCAAGACCACACTGTTATCTTTGGGGATACCCCTTAAACACCTTTTCCATTACATCAGCCTGTTGCATATTCATAGATCTTTATGCATATCCATAAACTAGTTTACATATTCCAGGAACTGTTTTACATGGCCCCTCCTTGGGTCAGCCTTTTTAGAACATGCATGTTTCTTGGCTGTGGTTTTGGCTCCTTCTCTTTATCATTTCCACTTTGGGCCTTGGTCCATACTTTCTTCAGACGGTGAGTGGTGATAGCTGGCATATATGTAGCAGGTGTCCTCATCCTATGTTCAGTGGATGTTATCCCATCCAAGCAGGCATTTTAACACGAGCATGGCTATTTCACTATTATGTCTAAACTTAATTAACAACAGAAATAAAAACTATATCTTTATAACAAAGTTACTTTAACATCACACATATAAAATCCATTTTAATATTTGCAAAGCCAATATAATACGTATCTATAACAGTTTTTAATTTTAAAGGAGTTTTATTTCCACTTTCTGAACACTGTTGGTTGAGTAGAATATTTCATAGTCATAAAACAGCCCAGGTTGGAAGGAACCTTGCAAGATCATCTGATCCAACCTGATGTGGGAAAGGGGATCTAGATGAGATTATGTAATGTCCTGTCCAATCACATCTTGAAAACCTCCAGTGATGGAAGACTGCCACATCCATGGGGAGGTTGTTTCAGTGAGTGATTGTTCTCAGTGTAAAAAATTTCTTTCCAAAATTGAGATGAAACTTCTCCTGGTACAACTTGAACTCGTCCCTTGTCTTCTCCACGCAGCTCCTTGTGAAGACACAGCCTCTGTCCTCTTTGTGGGTGCCCTTTAAGTACTGGAACATTGTGATGAGGTCCCTTCTGAGCCTTCTCCAGGGGGAAAAGACCTAACTACTTCAATCTTTCTTCATAGGGCAGGTTTTCCAGCCATTTGATTATCATCGTTGCCTTCCTTTGGACCTATTCCTGTCTTTCCACATCTTTTTTGCTGGCCTTCCTTTGGACCTATTCCTGTCTTTCCACATCTTTTTTGCTGGCTTTTCCCAATCACCTGTAACATTTGTATTGTAATAGTTTCCAAGAGGACTTGTTCCACTACTTTCCCAGGCACTGAAGTAAGAAAA